TAGCTACCTTTAGATATAGTAGTTGTGATTTAATCACTCTCTATATATTTGGCTTCCGCAACAGCAATAACTTAATTCACGGGGTTTTACCTGAGCTTTGTTGAGGCCTGTGAAGGAGAACATTCCAATCTGCTTCAGAATGTATGACCAGTCCTTTCCACTTTTATCCTTGGCGGAGAGGCTATCATATAGCTTCTGTCTCACACTCTTTATCCTTCCTGCCATCATTTCCATCTCTTGTTTCCATTCATCAAAGAACTCAGGAATTCCAACGACATTGGCAACAATTCTAGCACCGTGAATGGGGGGATTTGAGTACATTGGTCGAGCAAGCCTTTTTAGCTGGCTTTTCACCCTGTAAGTTAGTAGATATGCATCCATTAACAGAAGAAAAGTTATATTGGTTCAACCACATAAAATCCAAAGGAGATTAAAGCATCTCATCTTGCTATATTGTATAACAAATCATACACGGAAAGAACTGCACATGCATAACATAAATAAATGGCATCATACATTAACCAAAATCTTCAGTGCAACATCATTTTACCAATACAGAGGAGAAATATGTAGATTATTAGTGCTGGCCGTTGTACCTTGTCGCTGCATCAGCAGATGAGCAAAGAACATTAATAGCTCCAATCCTTTCTCCATACAGACCCAGATTTTTACTATATGATTGAGCAACCAAAAGCTCCATGCCACGTGCAGCAAACAATCTCACAGATGAGGCATCTTCATCAAGGCTGCCGCTTGCGAATCCCTGCAGTGCAGCGTGTAGACAGATGAGGCATCTCGATTATTATAGTATACAGCTATTCAATCCAATTCTCTGAACAGAAATGACTTCAGATGATCTTGTTCTAATAATTTCACTGAAAAATCAGTAAATTTCATTGATAAAAACCAAGACGGTGTAAAAAAATATGGACAAAGTAACACATGTGGCTTAACCACCAACATCAATCAAATTCGCTCATCTATCAATACAACAATGTATAGTCTCCACACACCAAAAGACAAATGAAATACGAGAGATCTTTCACTATTTTGAAACCATCTCCTATATCTTTCATTCTTTTCACACACGCACACACAGCCATCAAAACTTCTAAGAAACTTGGAATTCTACAACTTCACCAAATGAAAATAATTGGGTTTAGCACAGATTACCTGGTAGGCAACATCAAAAAATGGAATGTGGTTCTTCTCCTGAATTACATCAGCAATCTTTTCCCATTGTTCAATTGTGGGATCAATACCAGTTGGGTTGTGTGCACAGCCATGGAGCAAGATGAATGATCCTTCAGGAGCAGCCTATAAACAAGTAGTTTCATTAAACTATGTCAATGACTTACACAAAAGCTGGAAGGAAAAAGCCTTTTCCATCAGACTCTGTTTTTAGACGTGGGGAGAGAGCAAGGCGGGCAAACAAGACTGCACATACACATATATCAGACATAGGAGAGACATCCAGTACTGGATAATCCTATTTTCTTCGTGAGAAAATGTTGAAAATAGAAATCGACATTCACAACCGACATAGGAACTAAAGATCTAAAAGGAAAGAGTGCAGCCTATTTTTAGCATATTCCATCCTCACAAGAAAAAATATATTATCAAACTTGTTCTGTCAATTCCTTTCACATCCCAAAACATAACAAACTTTCTCTAAGTGTGAGCACCAAGTTCCTCTGATTTTCATTTTCAGAAATATGACTGCTCACACTGAAAGAACCAAGTCACTCCTACCAAAAAATAGAAAGAGAAGAAAAGCAACACACAAGTCATTGCCATTTGCCAAGGGCGCAAATTGTCCATGTTTAGCAGAGACAGGATCGATGCAAAAATGGGAAGGAAGAGCAGGAAACAGAAAAAGCATTTGGGAGATACAATGCTATCCTAGAATGAATAACGCATCTCTCCTTCAACGACTGAAAGTCAAAGCATGTCCCACATGCAAAGGCACCATCAATGGACTTGTGGAGAAAGGAAAAAGACACTGCTCACTGCTGCTTTACAATTTCAACCACAAAGATTACAAAAGTGAGGAAGATAATAACCTTTATATCTTCTATCATCCCAGCAAAATCTAGACCAACTGTTTTGGGATCATAATATCGATATTCAGACCAAGGCACCCTGGCATCATTGAAAATGTTCTTATGATTTCCTGCAAAACATAACTGCAAAAATCAGTATTATGAGATTCAACCAAATTAATCCAAAGCACTATATACGTACCCCAGGTTGGAGATGATATCAAAACCTTAGAGCCAGGGAAGTAACGCTCTATCAGTGCTGCAGCAATACGCAATGACCCAGTTCCTGATAGACCTTGAATAGTAGCCACCTGATCAAGAAACATACAATGCCATTCAATCCGTGGAAACTGAATCTACAAGTTTGTTCCAGGATACTTTTTTGCTAAGAGTTAAAAACCAAAATACTTACCCTTTGTTGCTGAATCACTGGATTATCTGCTCCAAACAATAACTCTGCTGTGACTTTGTTGAATGCAGCCAAACCTTCTATTGGAAGATACTATATATTCATGGACAAAAAATAAGTAAGAAATGGCACCAAGAGACACTAATAGGCCAAAAGATGAATTTAGTATATCAAGTACCTCTTTGTTGTCACCTCTCTCTAGCATAAGGTTTTCTGCCTACAGAAAAGTAATTTCCTCATCATTCAGATGCAAAACTATAGAAAGTTATTACTATGTTTAATGACGAACACATGGGAACAAGGTTAAGTGACTCTTAGTTTACAAACTACGTTGAGCATAAACAAGAGACCGAGGACTTACTTTTTTAACAACATTGAGGACATAGGGTTGAAGATCTTCTGTGCGGTAAGCTCCAACTCCAAGGTTAAGCTTCAGTTCATTTGTATCAGCCTTGAATGCTTCAGAAACTCCAAGAATGGGGTCAGGAGGAGCCATTGTTATTCCCTCAAATCGAGAGACGTTCACAGAAACAGCCATAGTAGTCCGACCATTTGACTATAAAAAAAGAAAAAGAGAAAAAAGTAAAAATTTAAGATAAGATCACAATTCCCAAATTTAGAAAATAATATCAATGTATCATCTTTGGTTCATGCTCCTCCCTCCCCGAGGGTTTGGATCTTTTTGCAATATAAATTGAGCAATCTGTCCGAGCTCGTTGTCTTTGCCTTTCTCTTCTGGGCTTTTTTCTAAGGATCTGGTGAGTAGGAGGACTAATTAAAGCCTTTGAGCACATTAAACAGCTCGATGTAGATTACAAAAAGTAGAAACATAGATATTAAAGAGCCCTGTTGAATTGAATGTTATAAAACCCAAAATGCTGTACAAACTGAGGCATAATTTTTGCTTTATAAAGTGATCTGAAGCACAATTTTTTTATAAACCAATACCATAATTGAAGATGAGAATGTTAGCACTGAAGGGGGACAAGAAAGAATTATCTTTACTAATAACATTTTGACTCAAAACAGTGGTAGAATTAGACCCCTATAACTCTGATATTACAAATAGAAGTACCAAGAAGATCTTGAGCCACATTTTAGCAAATGGCAAAGTTCAAACAAGTTATTTACTAGTACTATTTTATTCAGAAAAGAACTGATGTAACTTAAATGTCATGTTTTTCGTTCTAAAATGTGCCAATTGATGTCTAAATTCCTAAACGCCATAAAACCCCAATCATTGATACTAGCAAAAGTTTAACAGGCCTCACTGTTATACTTCTAATAAACTGAACGGAACCATCTATCACCTTTCTAGTTAGTAAAATACCCTACGTTAAACTGCAACTTTATAAAATAATTCTATATTAATATCATCCCTCTCAAGAAACCAGTACTGGCAAAACGCCGTTTTTGAATTTCAGTATATGGATAATAAAATCAATTCTGTAAGTTGGTTAGGTAATCACTTATATTCATTACTCCAACCAGATTTTTATAATTAGAAGTGCCGAAAGAATAATAAGTTCTGGAGTTGATTTACGGAGCATGATTGGATCATCCTATATCATACACCAAAAGCAAGAAACACATGTTCATTTGTATGCAAATCATTCCATCCCCACCATTATTCCCAATTAAACTCTTCTCTTCTCTTCTATACTCTAAAGGACAGAACCTACAGGGAGTTGCTCTATATCAGTAGAGCTATTACCTCTCACCAAATGTACACAAACAACACAAAAATCCTACCTTTGCCTTCGCGAAGTCTTTCCCGAAAAAGGCACTTTGGCTAGTAGTCCCCAGCTTTAGCTTTGACTGTTCAAACACAAACAACAGCATGAATCCACCTCATTAGGAACAGTCTAAGATAGGGCAAATTTCCAAATAATGTAATTCACAATGAAATTACCTTGAGATTATCTTGCAAGGAAAATGAAGCTGATGGAGCGGCAGAAGCTAGAGAGAACATTGTGGAAGCCATCTGGAATTTAACGGAACAAAATGCTAATCATTAACCTATAAAATATGCTAATCATTAATCAGCTTAATTCTGAGCCAATTCAGTTGAGATTTAAACTAAGATGACTAAAGAACTACGCTTGCCCTAAGGATCTAAACAGATTCAAACTTGAATTAATGAAATAAAAGAACCTTGCCTTATTAGCTGGAGTACATGTGTACTCTTTTTCATTAGTAAAAGGCAGATTAAGCCACAAAAATAAAAAACTTTTTTTCTTCCTTTTCTACTAAATGCCTGGTAAGGTCTGACTTTGTCTTCGGATCATACAAAAAGTAACAGAGTAAAATGAATCCAACTTTAAAATTTCAACTAGATAATCACTAGAAGTGTTCAAACTTATCCATATAACAGCTGTGTTCAATAACCAAGAAAAAATGCGTAATTCAGGAATTAAACATCAAATGAAGCTACCATGATACGAAAGATAATTACAAATTTCATGTAAGATCAAAACCAGAAAGTACCAAACATAAGAAAACACACACACAAAAAAAAAAGACACAAGCAGGTAGAAATAGATAGAGAATTGCTCAAACTTATGTATGACTGAGTGTCAGGGCACACTATGCATCAAAATCGAAATTCAAGTAAAATTCAACGGGAAAATGTGAAATCAAGCTAATATAATAACAAGATTCGAGGATTCATATAAGATCAAATCAGAAAGCACAAAAAGATACAAACCAAATTAATCAGCCACTTAAAGATTGGGAACACAGAAAGAAACAAGAGTTGCCTTACAGCTCAGGAAGAAGAGAAAAATGGGGAGGCTTTGGTTTTACAGGAAAGCGAAGAGAAAGGGAAGGACTGATCGATGAAAACGAGGATCTAACCTTCAGATGTTCTTCCTTCTTCAATCTTGTTAGTAATAAAATGTAGTTACAATTTATGTGAACTATGTTTCACTAGTAAGTTTTAAAAAAAATAATGATTTTTGTAATTTGTGGTACTAAACAATTAAAAATTGCAAGTGCCAGAGGATTTGTGTGATTATAAAAATTTCTCGTACAATTATAAGTTTAAGCAAAATTATTTTCAAATTTAAAAATTGATCATTCTTTTTGGAACGGACCAAAAAATAAATAGGTTCCTCCGTAATATTTTATTACTTCTTTAATTCAATAAATAATGGAGTATTGGTGATTCCTTTTTTTTTTTTTTTTTTTTTTTTTTTTTTTGAGAAATGATATTTCATTGTTGAGAAAGGTTTATTAGTTTTATGAATAAATAATTCGAATTTTTTTTTACTGTGACAAACAAGTACAAATTTTGACTATGGAGTATGAAATACCAATTTAACTAAAAAATGATTAAATAGGATTTTGTGATTGCTTAATCAACCATTTTTATTGACAATTACTTACTCAATATTAAAATATATTATAAAAATAAATCGCTTTTCAAGAGAAATTTTTCAGCATAGTTTGTAAATGATTTCCAATTTTTACAAGCTATTTTTGTTTTTCTTAATTTTTATATATGAGAAGGATAATAAGAGTGGATGAAGAAATTAAGTTAGTGTTCTATTTTGTTCTACGTAGAATTATTGAGAAATAAATCAAATTTTATTTTCTTCTACTTGTGTCTTGAACTTACTCGTATTATTAAACGCCTAAATTTTTTTATTTTTCTTTTCCCCATCCATGGAGTTAATATACTTATGTAAATCTTTAGTATTTTAAGTTACTTAATATAATGTAGAATTTAATTCGGATGCTTTGACCTTGATAAAATAATACCCCTAATTGACCCTATATAATCGCTCTGTTTTGATTTGCTGAAATAAAAATTACTCCTATATTATATTCAAACTTAACCTTATTACCTTTCCTCAAAAGATTAAAATAATTATTAGTTTTTCATATGTACAATAGATCCTTGTGATTCGGTCCTTCTCCGGGCTCCGCACATAGCAGAAACTTAGTGCACTGGACTGCCCTCGTATGAATTTAATTTTAGATGATTAGATTTAAAAGTAGTGTTAAAGAAAGCTACTCCTATCAAAACAATTTGTTTTTATTTCATTTTATTGCATGATCCATCAAATTATAAGCTCACATTTTTCAAAAGCACGTCGTTTATTTGAAGAGAAAAATTGAAAACCATATATAAAGTAAAATAATAAAAAAAGATAGGGAAAGAAGGAAAATTGGGGAGGAACAAGTTCACATGATGTAAATGGGAATCTTTTTGGTGATTGAAGGAGAGTGGAGAGGATCAGTGGATCTGAAGTAGGACACTTGGCTCATAGTTTATGGCATGACTTTTGAATTCTTTGCACTAATGTCTCTATTAAATTAAATGGTGAAGGGCCAAATATACTCACGTACTTTCGAAAATGGTCTAAAAATACCTTTCGTTATACTATTGGGCTATATATACCCTTCCCATCATACTTTGGAATAAATATACACTTATTTTAGATGGAGTGCCACGTGTCAACACCAGATGAAAATGACCCATTTCTTTTTATTTACCCGATCCGTTTTAAAAATCCCATCACCCGATCCGTTTTAAAATTCAGTTTTTAAAAGCATATATTTTGTAAAAACTGGAATTATTTTTGTAAAAACTGAAGAAAAAAAAAAGAAATTTGCAAAATATATATTTTTAAGTCTTTTCAGTTTTTTTAAAGTATTTGTTTTTGTAAAAACTGAAAAAAAAAATTAAAAAAATGCTTTAAAAAACTGAAAAATATATATTCTGTAAAAACTGGAAAAAAAAGAATTTGCAAAATATATATTTTTAAGTCTTTTCAGTTTTTTTAAAGTATTTGTTTTTGTAAAAACTGAAAAAAAAAATTAAAAAAATGCTTTAAAAAACTGAAAAATATATATTCTGTAAAAACTGGAAAAAAAAGAATTTGCAAAATATATATTTTTAAGTCTTTTTATTTTTTTAAAGTATTTATTTTTGTAAAAACTGAAAAAAAATATTTTTTTTAAAAATGCTTTAAAAACTGAAAAATATATATTCTGTAAAAACTGGAAAAAAAAAATTTGTAAAATATATATTTTTAAGTCTTTTCAGTTTTTTTAAAGTATTATTTTTTGTAAAAACTGAAAAAAAATATGTTTTTTAAAAACTGAAAAAAAATATGTTTTTTAAAAACTGAAAAAAAAAAGACTCTCCTAAAGTAGTGGACTACATATGCATTAGTTTTAAAAAAAATAAAATATTTTGCAAATATTTTTTTTCAGTTTTTACAAAAATAATACTTTAAAAAACTGAAAAAACTGAAAAATATATATTTTCCAAAATTTTTTTTTTCAGTTTTTACAAAAAAATCTACTTTAAAAAAACTGAAAAGACTTAAAAATATATATTTTGCAAATTCTTTTTTTTTTCCCAGTTTTTACGAAAATAAATTCCAGTTTTTACAAAATATATGCTTTAAAAAAACTGAATTTTAAAACGGGTCGGGTAATGGGTTTTTAAAAATGGATCGGGTATAAAAAAGAAATGGACCGTTTTCATCTGGTGCTGATACGTGGCACTCCATCCAAAATAAGGGTATATTTGTTCCAAAATATGACGGGAAGGGTATATATAGCCCAATAGTATAACGAGAGGTATTTTTAGACCATTTTCAAAAGTACAGAGGTATATTTGACCTTTTGCCGTAAATTAAATTAAACTAATAGTACCACTTTTAGTTGTGATAAACTGATAGTAACTTCAATCTTTTCACATGGTCCACAAAGGCAAATAGACCATTGTCACACTTAACAGAGTTTTAGAGTATACAGAATAAGTGCCATTGTCACACTTTATTATTCAATATGAGATTTTTCAACGTGAATATGTATCTACTCGGACTTGAACACCAGAGGAGAACTGAAAAAAACAAAAGAAAGCAGTTTCGAAACTATGCTATTCATTGACTCAAAAGAGTTGGAAAATCTAAAGAAGCCTCTATTATGCTTAACTTGAGGCTCTTAGTTTTGACTTCTCATGGAGTTTTGGCGCAAATTCACCATTCGCATGTTGGTTCCAATTCCCTCATTGTTTACCTAGCTAGAGCATCAATAATTAGTAGAAATGACACCACGTAGTCACTCTAAAGAGATAAGAATTAGTCAGTGCGTTCTGGATTTTAGTTTTTCAGTTCAAATCTTTAGTACAAAAAATGTCCTGAAATTATGATTTTTAGTTTAAAATTTCAGGACAAAAATAAGTATTGGCTAACTCCTAAATACAATGGTTACGTACCTCACATTTTGTTGAACCTAGCTAGGGGTGGCCCAAATTACAAATCCCAGTAGGAACTACTCTGGACTCGTCATGATAGGATTGTGCTGCCTCCATTTAAATCATTTGCATAACTTCAACAGTTGGACTTCCTTTCTCAACAGTCTCGTATCCTTTAGGTTTTCCCAATGGGATTCTTGGCCCAATACCTTTTAAATTCTCTTCAATTTAATGTACCGGCCTTCCACAATTCGAATAAAAGGTTTAAATCTCATCAGTGTATAGCATTCTCCTCCCCATTAAAATTTTTTTAATAAAAAAAGAACAAAAAATACTATCATTAAATAGATATTAAAGTGGTGAAATCATGCAAATCCCGGTGATAAAAAAGACGAAATAAAAAGAAATAATTATTCGTAGTTAAGTTTTGATTAGAGGACTTGTGTGCCACAACAATAGAAATATTAATAATCATATGCTGCCACAAACTGTTCCTTTAACTGCTAAAATATTCGATAATTGATAATTACTTGATAAGATAAAGTATTGAGAACACATGGTTTAATTGAAGATTTGTAATTGAGACTTCAAGGACTTGAAACTGCACTAATCCAATAACACAAGGACCAAAAGTGCAACTCAAAATATAAACTCTTACCAGCAAATTGCAACACACACAAAAAGATATAGTGCATTTTGGCACAACAGTTTTACTAAATCGCTATAATTCACAATTAGGATTTAGGACAACAAATTAGACCTCAAATAGCATAAGGAAATTCACATTCCAATTGAGCTACTAGTCTACATTTCCATTGGAATTGAAACAACCCCATAACTTTGGAGCTCATATTTCCCTAAATAATACACCATGTTTAATCTTTCTCCTTAGCGAAAGAAGGGAATCAGAAGGTACTCCGCATAGAATAACTGCATTAGTGAAAAATACGAATATAATTAGGTTTTAAACTTATATTTAAGCTATTATGCAAAAAGAAAAGGAGAGAGTTACCTTCCATATAAACATATAAAAAGAAGTTACTGATATTTGACTTGTTATATCGACCGATCGGGCTTGAAATAAAAGAAAGCTAGCGAGTAAGAAATGCCCTAAAACCTGCATTACATGTTCATGTATAATTTTATGACTTTATATATATATATATAGTTGATGTATCAAGGAAATAAAAAAGAAGTAAAAAATGTAGACATACAGTGACAAGCCTGCTGAAAAGGGAAGAAGTAGTAGCTCCAATCACCATAGCAACTCCATATGCAGCTACAAGCATGCTAATACATAGCCAAAATACCTTTTTGTTTTGCATGAAAACAACACATTTTAATTAGATTTGTATAGTGATTAGTAAAAAAAGAGAAGAAAAGAAAAAGGGGGAGAGGGAGAGGACTACTTGCAATTGAGCTAATGTTGTAAAATTGTGTTTAAAATGAGATAAAATATTGTATTTTTACTAACTCGTTCTTGGCCAAGCCTCACACTGAAAGATTGGATTCCAAAGTCTCTATCACCATCCACATCAGGTATGTCCTGTAAAAATTAAAATAATCACAACAGATTTTTGTATCAAACTGACAACGTTTGGATCACCTGATATACAAATTTAAATTGAGGTAAATATTTACTCCGGTGTTTACAACAAATCAAGCAAGTCAATAAAATGAGAATACATATCAGTTAACCATCGTAAAAAAAAAAACGCATATCTGGTATTTATTGATTTAATATAAATACCAAGTGCAACTAAGTTTTTTACTAAAATTTGTGGACGTTTGAAATGAAGATTACCTTAAATAGGGCAATGACAGCAGTGAAGATACACATAAAAGTGACAGCAAATACCAGAGATCTTGTATAGAGCATAGGCCTAACCAGCACATACTTCTACATAAAAAAGGTTATAAAAAAAAACTAATTAGATAAATTATTTCTTAACATTTTTTCACAAGATGTGACAAGTTGATGTCAATTAACGACATTAATAAACACAGGACTATCTGAATTTATTACCTGAATATGTGCAAAGAAAGCAAACTGAACAACGATAGCCCTCACAACCATAATGCATATTGCAGCCAAGGCTGCATTTCTTTTCCATCTAAGTAAAGGTAACTTCCAAACAAAATTGGATAGTCAGAAATAATATTTTTCTTAAATTAATAAAATGAAATTAAAAATTGAAACTTATTTTTGTCACTTTTCAATGGAATAATTCGGACATGTATTTTTTTGCTAGTGTTTCTAATTTTTGAAGTGTGTTTAGAATGACGAATTAATATGTAGCCCAACGCACGAAGTATTCCGTATTTATGAAGGGTTTGGAGAAAGACTACACCCTAAGGGATATGATATAAACAGCATACCCTGACGCAAATGTCAGTGACTCATTCCACAGACAACGTTACATTTGCTCTAAGGTTCCGAAAGATGAATTGATATAAGTTGATAAATCTAATAAGTTAATTGAATCTAACATTGAGAAGAGGAAGACTACTAATTAGGATGAAAGGAAATATAGTAAGGTCAAGTGCCAAAGTTACCTCTATAGAATATGCACTCCCAAGAAAAAAGCTAACAATGAGAGCAGCTAACAATGGTGGAGATTGAAACTTAATTCCCATACCAAAACTCTGCAAAACGTTTGACTCATTAGTTATATTTACTCCTAGATTTTAGATGCAGAAAACTTGGTATAAGAAAAATAAAAAAGACACCAAATTATGTAGATAATTACTAATTAGTACCCTCTGCATTCCAAATATTGTGACAAGAATTTGTTTTTGGAACCTAAAATATTTTAAACTTTTTTGCTGCTATCTTGAAGTTCGGAGTCCATCCATCCAAATTAATGTTTACCTTTTTCTGTTATCATCCAATTTAATAATTAGCAAGGAGAAATTTAGTAATATTATACTCAGAATTGAATAATATGGGATCTACTTCTTTTCTTTTATATATATGCAACTATTTCCTCTTCATTTCTTTCAAAAAGTCGAAACTCTTATCTCGGATGTTTGTTAAACAAACGTGATATTATTTACTTTTTCGACTTCTAGTGATTAAGTTAAGTTAAACTAATACATTTAGTTTGGACTAAGAATAAGATGTATAGTTGTACATTAGAATCTTTAATTTAATCAGTTTTGTAGTCATGTTTAGCAAGTATTTAGTTATGCATAACCAACTATATAGATTTAAAGATTCATTTATATATAGTCAATCAATAATAAAAATGGTGGAGGATTTTGAGGAAATTACAAACCACAATTAGGGAGGTGATAACTATTGCTATGCCTAGTTCCATTGAAATTTCTCCAGAAGCTAGTGGCAAATTTGGTTTGTTCACCTGGATCATAAATAAATGTTAAGTCCCTCCTTAACATATGAAAAAGAAAGATTTATGATTTTTAAAAAAAAAAAAAAAAA